ACTTGTGCCAGGCACTAGGCTTGGACTGTAGGAGAGAATGTGGGAGAGGGGAGGGACCTGGAAGCCCTCCGAGCCAGCCTTACAACTTCACTCACGGCTTGCCCCTCTGAGAGCATTTCCACATTCTCTCCAATTACTGGCCATTGCCCGGGGATACCCCCCCCGGCTTACTTATCAGTTACCCCAGTGACATAAATGCTTAGTTTGCTAAGCTGGTGCTGATCTGAGAACAAGAAACCAGAACAGTGTTGGCTAAATGGGACAAAATGGGACAGAGAGCAGGCAAAGAGAGCCCTGCCCCTGGGGCTCAGAGGGCAGATTCAGCCATCTCCCCCGCCCCCAACCCCCTGGAGCAAGACCAGTGGCTCTCTCCAACCCCCCCTCTTCCCCGAGTGCGACATCTCACTTCCCATGCACCAGGTTCTTTTTACTACCTTGGTGGAAAAGCCACAAAACCTCCTTCCCACGCGTCTCAACCTGAAAGCTCCTATTTTCTTTCTGGGCCAAGAGCTGGAATGGCTCCACCCCTCCCCGGGCCACCCGGAATGTGGCTCATGCACCCCTGTCTTTGCAGGAACCAGGTGTCCCGAGCACACTGGTCACACCTCAGAGGGAGAGTATTCTGGATCCTGCACCTGTTTACAGCCCCTGAATGTGTGGCTTCAGAGCAGGGATGAAGGGACCAGGCTTAGCTTGTGAGCTGGCCAGGGTTTGTGGAGCTCTCCATCCCACGGATGCTGTGACCTTCCTTCCGTGGAGAGGCAGGTAGTGCCACCAGGGAGGAGGGGAGCTGCAAAGCTGAAATCTAGGGCACTGTTTCCTCCCATCCTCCTCTTCATAGAGAATATAGATGTTTGTCTTGTCTGTCTTCAACCTACTTTTCTTTTTTCCTTTTTGCATTTCTCATCCTTTTTGTGCTTCCTCTCCACCCAGAAGACCATGTAGCATGATGGAAAATGTCCTGGAGGGTATCCTGGCTCAGCCCCTAACTCACCATGTGACATTGGACTAGTCCCACCCCCCCCACCCCCTTTGGGGCCTCAGTTTCCCCATTTGCAAAATGAGTAGGATAAACCAGATTCTCTCCAGGGTCTTTTCCCAGTCTGCTGTCCTACAGATCTTCATTTTTCTCTTGTTTTGCTTTCTTGGGATCTTTTCCATTGGAGGGGACAGGAAGTGCCAGGACCTGTTTCAGTTTGTGAATCCTGCAAGCACATTCCAAGACTGGCCTGCGATTGCATGAGCAACATCACTCTAAATAATTTTTTTTTTTCAAAAGCACCTTCCAACCAACTGCGATGCTGTCCTGTTCCTTTTTACTCACACCCCTCCCTCCCCTCTTGTCCCCATGCTCCCCCACCTCAGTGCTCTGTGCTGTATGCGTGTGCTCTCTGTTCTTGTATACTCAATAAAAGTGAAATAAATGTGTTTGATGCTGAACCACAAACTGCCTTGGCATCTCTCTCTCTCTCTCTCTCTCTCCCAGCCCTTAGCTACCAGTATGGGTTGGCCTTGTGGGGAGGGCTCAAACAGGTGTGGAAGAAATCCCAACCTTGAACACTTTCATGCAACACTTATTTGCAGCTTCCAGTATGGTCTGACTTGGGTTAGGCTCTGCAGGCACAACCGCAAATAAGACAAATTTCCTGCCCTCCGGGAACACTCAGACTTGTGGAGTGCTGGAAACATAATACAACAGGCAAGCAGTTCTGGAGTGATCGGCACCAGGAAGGAAATGCACAGAGGCAGGAGATGGCTGCTGAGGGAGACCACTTAAATAAGGTGGCCAGTTATGGCCTCCCTGAGGAGGAGCTAAATGAAGAGAAAGATCCGGTAAGGTGAGGGATTTGGGCAAGATATTCTAGGCAGGGGCCCCTGGGTGACTCGGTCAGCTCAGGTCATGATTCTAGGGTCCTGGGATCAAACCCCGCATTGGGATCAAACCCTCTCCCGCTGCTTGTGCTCTCTCTCTCTCTCTCTGTGTCAAATGGATGAATAAAATCTTAAAAAAAAAAAAAAAAAGAGTGGGGTGGCTCAGTGGGTTAAGCCTCCGCCTTCAGCTCAGGTCATGATCTCAAGATCCTGGGATCGAACCCTGCATCAGCTCTCTGCTCAGTGGGGAGCCTGCTCCCCCCCCCCCCGCCTGTCTGCCTACTTGTGATCTCTCTCTCTCTCTCTCTCTCTCTGTCAAATAAATAAATAAAATCTTAAAAAAAAAAAGACTATTCTAGGCAGAAGGAACAGTAAGTCTGTGGGCCCCAGGACATAGAGGTGCTTGATGCATGGAGGAACAGCATGATCCCTCCTCTTTCTGAAAGAAGAGCACTTACATTGGGGGTCTCTTCCTACAACCCTCTCCATGGGAACCTAGTGGTTAATGTATACAGTGACCCCCAGCTTCAACCTTTGCCCACCTCCACATACATTGCCATGTCCTTCTACATGCCACTTGTCCCATTATTGACTTATTTAAATGGACTCTGTAAATTATATATATATGTGTGTGTGTATACATGTATATGTACATATATATGAAACAATATTACTTCCATAAATCAAAAACTAGTGTCACTTGCCAAGAAAGGAGGTCTTCATAAAACTAAATGCAAAAATATAAAATTAAAAACCCATAATCCATGTAAAACTTACTCCTTGGGCTACCTGAATTACATGTACCACACTTTCCTTTTTATTCTAAGTGGCTCACCCCGGGCCAACTTCTCTATTGCCCCAAATCTCACAAGCAAGAACCACTATAAATAATTGGATGCATTTTCTTCCACTCTTTTTCCAGGTATGTATATCTCTTCAGAGCTTAAATTACCTGGGACATACCATTTTAAATACTATTTTAAACTTAAATTCTGAGCATTTCCTAGTAATTTTGAATACTAAATACTATTTTGTTTCTTTCCAAAGGTAATTCACTCAATGACACAAAATGCTGTGCAGTGAAAACAATTCTTCAACGCTCTCTGGAATCCCGTCCATTGTCAGAGGTAGTTGCTTTCAGGAGCTTTGGGAATCCTTCCCTAAATTTGTTTCTTGTACATTTCCTTTAGCTCTCTGCCACCCATAGGGTTCTGGAATAGGACACAGTTTGCAAATATTGGGTCCACACACACCCTGAATCTGTATCTTTATCTCCCAGAAATTCAGGGTCAGCCTCTGTGTTGCTTGGGAATACACTGGGGTTGATTTATCTAGATCAGTGGTTCCCAAACAGAGGGGAAGGAGGTGATTTTGCCCTCCCCCAGGGAACATTTAGCCATGTCTGAAGACATTTTTGGTTGTTACACCTGAGGGGTGCTATTGGCATTAAGTGGGTAGAGGCCAGGGATGCTGCTAAACATCCCATAATCACGGGACAGATCCCACAACAAATCTGATCTGATTTGTCAGTAGTATCAGAGTTGAAAACCTGATCTGGACGGACGTGTGACCCATAAGGTGGCATTCCAGGGCCACCATCTGTAGCTTTCAAGCCCTAATTCAGGGCTGGAGTCTCTGAGAAGATGGTGAGCCCAGCTGGAACAGGGAGCTCTGAGATCATAAACTTAGCTCAGCACCCACACTGGGAATAAGGAGGGTCAGGGAAGGAGCTGAGCTTCTTCAGACAGGAAATGGAACCGACATGACAGGCGGAGTTTGACAGGCGTGACTGTGACTGATGGAGGCCATTTCTGGTTAATCCTGCAGCAGCTTATTGTGATTAACCGTGACTGCAGGGCCCAGTATAGTCTGCAACCCACTAAGAGATGAGGTTTGACTGAGAAAGATTGGTGTGTCCAGCTGTCACTGAGGAAGTGTGACAGACAAACTAAGAAGCAGAGGCACAGGGACAGGAACAGTCAGACCGTGGTTTGCATCCTAGCTCTGCCACTCTCCAGCTGTGTAACCTCTCTGAGCCTTGGTTTTCTCTTCTGTAAGCTGGGAATACTGATATCTACTTACTAGGGTTACGTTAAGGCTTAGAAGTCATATATGAATGGCCTGCCCTATGGATATTGGACTTACCTAGCCAGTCCCCACAATCATACAAGCCAATTCTTTGTAAAAAATCTCTTAATATAGGGGCGCCTGGGTGGCTCAGTGGGTTAAAGCCTCTGCCTTCCGCTCAGGTTATGATCTCAGGGTCCTTGGATCGAGTCCCGCATCAGGCTCTCTGCTCGGCGGGGAGCCTGCTTCCCTCTCTCTCCGCCTACTTGTGATCTCTCTCTCTGCCTGCCTCTCTGCCTGCTTGTGATCTCTGTCTGTCAAATAAATAAATAAAATCTTTAAAAAAAAATCTCTTAATATATATCTTCTATTGATTCTGCTTCTTTGGTTGAACCCTGACTGATACAACCACCCAGCACAGAGCAAAGCCCTCAAACAGAAATCATTTATTAATACAGTCATTAATTAAATACACACACCCAGCTGAACCCTGGTGTCTGGCTTCGGGCTAGGTTCCTGGGAAACAACAGAGAACCAGACAAGAAATTCCCTCCCTCCAGGCATGTTTGTAGCCTGCACCACCTGAGGACACTGGTGATTATGGCGGGAGGGACCCATGTAGTGGCTATTGCTGCTGGGACGACTTCTCCGCCCTGCGGGCTGGGTTTCTGACAATCTCCTTTAGGACTGAGTGTGGTTGGACAGCGACTGGGTGATAATGGGCCAGTGGTGATACTCAGGTCGTAACTGACTGACAGGGACCATTACTGAGCTTCTGATGTGGCTACTAGAAAGCCATGATCATGAACCCAGCTTCAGCGACCATAACTGATTGTGACCAAAGGACTAGGGCTGGTGGGTGTGTTTCTGGAGCAGGATATACATAGTTTGGTGAAGGTTGTTATCCACGGTTCAGGAGACGTGTAACCCAAAGTAGCAAAAGGCAACATTTAATGGGGCGGAACCTGCAGGCGCGGACCGTTCCTCCCCAGACCAGGAGCTCTGCCGGACCGCTTTCCCCATCGCTCCCGTCCCAAGCCAAACCGTGAGAACTTCCGGTGCTCCGCGGCGCTCGGGAGTGGGGAGAGTCTGAAGCTGGTGAGTGCGGCCTCCTGGTCTGTTTGAACTTTTCTGTTTTTGTTGTCCGTGTGGCCCAGCCACCCTGTTCCTGGTTCGGGATCGCGGAGTGCCCTGAAGTGGGGCGCCTCGGCGGGACGCGCGCGTCCCTCTCTGTGGGCCGGTGCTTGGACCCTGGTGGCTCTGCAGGCCTTTCTCCCTGAGAAACCGTCACCAGAGCCCCAGTCGCCAGTACTTCCTGGGGCACCCGGGGTAACTTAGCTGTTTCCCGAACTTGGGAACTTGGGGGCCGGAGACCCTGGCCGCGCCCGATATGGTTTTGTTCGACTCTAATTTCGGGTAAGGTAATTTGCCCGAACCGACCGTTTGTTTCTCATCTACAACATGGATATCATGTTTTTATTAAATAAATGCCTATCGAGGGGCTGGTTTGTGCTGGAAGAACAAAAAGACTCAAGTCTCACGGAGGTAACAGCCCTCTGCTAAACACAAACGCAGAACTGCAGCCTGATCAATGAAATGGAAAGGTGCAGGGTGCCGGGGAGTGTCTCACGGGATACCTGACCTAACCCCGGGTCAAGCAAGCTTTAGTGAGGAAGTGAATATTGAGCTGAGATTAAAAAAAAAAAAATGATTTGAGGAAGAGGAGAGGGAAGAGGTTTTTTTTTGTTTTGTTTTGTTTTTTAATCCAAGGAGCCTCCAGCCAGTGTGGCGGGAACAGAGAACTCTGCAGGGTGCATGGTGTGAAACAGACCGAAGGAGTTGGGAGGGGCCAGGCAGCCCAGGCCTTGTAGGTCTTGTAGGTCATGGTAAAAATTCTGGTTTTCCAGGAGCCATAAGAAAAGCCACTCACATGGAATTCAGTGTGAGCTGGTGACATGCTTAGGTTGGGCCTTTGAAAAGTTCACTTTGGCTGTTGGATGGAGAACGGGTAACTTGCAGCAAGGAGGTGATGGCGAGAAGCAGATGGACGGATGTGACTTTGTGCATTCCAGGGCATAGTCTCTGTGCCAGGCTGTGTGCCAGCTGCTGAAGATACAGTGAAGAGAATTACCGCTGGTGTAATTAGAGTAAAGGAATGTCATTGTCAAGGAGGAAGGAGCGCAAGTACCACAAGGGAGAATGGCTAATTGGTGAACAATTATTCTAAATGTAGTAGCTCCTCATTTAGCAAGTACTTATTAAGTACCTTCTGAATTCAGGGTTGGGAATAAGATGATGATGATGCAAATTATTTAGAGCAGCGGCTTTCAAGCTTTTTTGACTGTGACCTACAATAACAAATACATTTTACCTCATGATCAAGAATCCATACAGACACATAAAACTTCAGAAGACAGTTATTATCTTTATTACTCATGAGGCACTCTTTTTCTTTTTTTAAATTTTGTGGTTTCCATTTAAAAAAAGTTTAATGCTGGTTGAGACTCTCTAAATTGATTTCTTAACCCATTAATGAGTTTTGACTTGCAGTTTGAAAAAAAAAATGCCCATTTAGAGTAAGAGTCACTTACCTTGGTTTGGGGTTAAGATGATAAAACATTGCCTCTACCATTTTTGGAACCAGGTTGGCCTTCCTTTTCTCCCTGCTTTAGTTTGTTCTGTTTGCTTAACATAGAAAAGAGTAAGAAGAATTAAACAGGCAACTGGTTCTTCTGTTTGTGAAATTTGGGGGTCTTGTTTGTGCATCTGGCTGGGTTGGAAGTCCCTAGAGGCAGTAGTGACTGTCCTACCCTGTGGATGTTTCATAGATCATTGTTCCAGGCAAAGATCTGGCCCAGTGCGGGTGCTCAGTGATTATTTGTTAAATTGAATAGGTAAGCGTCTTGGGACTAGAAGGTTAGATAATTGTTTTTATTAAATTAGCTCATGTTGGAACCATTCCTATAAATACCACCCAGGCAGTGTCTGCCTGCCTACAGGTTGTGTCAGTATGTCCCCATGGATAGTTCAGAGGTGGGTAAAATAAGTGTTCTTGCTCTTTCTCGTCTATATACTGATCCTAGGCCAGCCGTCCCACCTGAATCTATTCTGGGCAAGGTGGCCAGAGTTGCCACTGACTGTGGGCCCTTTGGGAAGTTGCTTCACTCCCTGGACTTTAGGGGTTTTTTATGCATAGAAGATGAAGAGGAGGTTTGTGGTTGAAAAGCTTTCCACTTCCAAACATTTTGTGAATGAACACCCACTTCAGATGCAGAGCACCCACTTTCCACCTTCTGTCCATGTCTGGGCCTTCCTTAAGGCTTATGGGAAACTGGGTATATGCTGGATTTAATCATCCTTCTTAGCTCCTTGGGACTCTTCAGTGATAGGGTTTAGGCAGAGTTACAGTGTGAGGCAGTTTAGGCACAGTCGTAGTTTCTAATAGACCACCCACGCTTTCCCCACCTTCATCTTGTTGTGGGAGAGAGATCCTGAGAGCGGATCTTGAGTGGGCAGTGAGAAGAACACTGGCCTGGAGGACAGGGTACCCAGGTTCTAATTTGTGTGACCTTGTATGACCTGGAGCATGTCGTTTATCCTCAATGTCTTTCCAGCTATGCGGTGAGTGTTCTTTCTCAATAAACCAAAACACAAAATCCTCTTCACCCTGAGTCCTCTTTTCCTCTTCAGTAAAATTGATGCAGGGTTGTGGTGAGGATTGAGGGAGATAATTATGTCAGGGGTCTGATTCAATCTGGCACATGCAGAATCCTCAGCAAATGAAGCATCTTTCCTCAAGTTCCAGTTAATTCTGATTTCTTTCTTTTTCAGTTGTTTGGAAGACAAGAGAGGTTCTCTTTTTGGTCACTTAGCACTGGTGCCATGGCTGCCATGCAAATGGATCCTGAGCTTGCCAAGCGCCTGTTCTTTGAAGGGGCCACTGTGGTCATCTTGAATATGCCCAAGGGGACAGAGTTTGGCATTGACTACAACTCCTGGGAGGTGGGGCCCAAGTTCCGGGGCGTGAAGATGATCCCACCAGGCATCCACTTCCTCCACTATAGCTCTGTGGATAAGGCCAATCCCAGGGAGGTGGGGCCTCGTATGGGCTTCTTCCTGAGCCTGCAGCAGCGGGGGCTGATGGTCCTGCGCTGGAATGCGATCCGAGAAGAGGTAGACCTCTCTCCAGCCCCAGAGGCTGAGGTGGAGGCCATGAGGGCCAACCTCCAGGAGCTGGACCAATTCCTAGGCCCTTACCCATACGGCACACTCAAGAAGTGGATCTCACTCACCAACTTTATCAGCGAGGCCACAATGGAAAAGCTGCAGCCCGAGAGCCGGCAGATCTGTGCTTTCTCAGAGGTGCTTCCTGTGCTGTCCATGAAGCACACCAAGGACCGCGTGGAACAGAATCTACCTCGCTGTGGCACTGAGTGCAAAAGCTACCAGGAGGGCCTGGCCCGGCTGCCAGAGATGAAGCCCAGAGCTGGGACAGAGATCCGCTTCTCAGAGTTGCCCACACAGATGTTCCCAGCAGGTGCGACGCCAGCAGAGATAACCAGGCACAGCATGGACCTGAGCTATGCCCTGGAGACGGTACTCAGCAAGCAGTTCCCCGGAAGCCCTCAGGATGTGCTTGGTAAGGAGGAACAGGATTCTTTGGGAGTGGGCCAGGAGATGGGTGTATAGTAGTGGGTACATCTCCGGTTATCTAGTCCAGCGGCTCCTAAACTTGGCAAGGAAGCAGTCTTGCCCAGTCCCCCTGGGACTAGGTTAAGAGAGCTGGAGTGGGGCCCCAGCACTATCTGTCTGTCTATATAATAAACAAACACTGTAGGTGAACCTGATGCAGCCAGTTCTGTGTTTGGGAACCACTTATGTGGCCCAGCCCCTCATTTTACAGATTGAGGTTCACAGAGGGAAAGGATTTGGCCAACTATGTGGTCAAAGTGAGACCAGAGTCCAGGGCTCCTGGTTCCCCGTCTCCCATCTGCCTCCTCAGTTTGCTCCTGATTCTCTCAGTGTTGGTCTTTCCACTGGCTTAGACCAGGATCGTGATTTTTTAAAAATTATTTTTGTTTTTATTGTTATTTTTCTCCCTTTATTGCAAAAGTACTGTATGGTCATCATAGAAGCAAAAGAAAAATGCATTCCCAACTCCCACCTAGAAATAACCAAATTTTGTACCCTTGGGTATATTTCCTTTTCGTCTGTTCCATGTGTGTGTATCCCTGTGCAGCATTTCATTGCAGTCTCTTCTCTGTGTATTTCTGTGTATTTCCCTTTAGTCTCTTTTTTCCCTCAATTATATGTGTTTGTGTGTATAAATGATTTTTTTATAATTTTTTTTAAGATTTTATTTATTTACTTGAGAGAGAGAGTGAGAGAGAACATGGGAAGAGAGAGGGTGAGAAGGAGAAGCAGACTACCCACTGAGCAGGGAGCCCGATGCGGGACTCAATCCTGTAACTCCAGGATCATGACCTGAGCCAAAGGCAGTCGCTTAAACAACTGAGCCACCCAGGTGCCCCTATAAATGATTTTTTACAAAAACAAGATTGCAGTATACTATTTTGTAATCTGCTTTAACATAAACACGTTTCTTTGTTGCTGAAACAGCCCCTTCTCAATAGTGGCTACTTATGTGCCATAGTTAATGAACCAGCCCTCTGTTGGTGGGCCTTTAAGTTGTCCCTATTTTCCCTATCTAATGAACATCCTTGTGTGTACTTATACATACATTTAGGGTTGAAATTGTTGGATCAGAGCCTGTGTGTTGCGAACTGGGGTGAGGCTGTTGCCCATCATCTCTGAAATGGCGATTTGGCAAAGGCCTCTTCCTACCGGATGGTTGGAGAATGATATCGTTTCAATTTATATTTCTTTGATTCTAGTGACAGCAGACATTCGTCACATCTTTAACAACTATTTATATTTTTTCTCTTACAAATTGTCCAGGTATTTGCATATTTTTCTGTTGGAAGATCAGTGAGAAATTTGAATATAGGGCCCTTTATATCATTGCCTCTGATAAAAGGGCACATTTTAATGGGTGCATCTTAATGCATTACACAGTATTATCATTTAATAAGTAACACTTAGGAAATTCTGGCTTAAAAATGAACGAAAATCCTGTTTTCTACCTCTTAAACATTTTAGTTCTTCAAAGTAGTCTTGTGAAAGGTCTGTTGCAGGGATAACTTTGTATCTTCCTGACAGCTCTTTGAAATTACTTCTGATCTCCTAACTTAATTTCAGACTGGGCCAGAAATGCATGAATTTAAGTAAATGCCCTAATTTCAGAGAATAAGCTCCTATTTTCACAAACTAACCAGATAAAGCCAACTGTAGAAGCAAATCATTAACCTCTATCATAGAAAGAAAATTTGACAATATCTTTTTTTTTTAAGAGTTTATTTATGTATTTGACAGAGATCACAAGTAGGCAGAGAGGCAGGCAGCGGGGGAGGTGGGGAGCCGGCTCCCTGCTAAGCAGAGAGCCTGATGTGGGGCTTGATCCCAGGACCCTGAGATCATGACCTGAGCCGAAGGCAGAGGCTTAATCCACTAAGCTACCCAGGCGCCCCAAATTTGACAATATTTTGAAAATGTCAGTCAAACATCCAATATATCTGGACCAGGCGGCTAGACAAACTTAGTTCCACAAGCCTAGGAATAGAGAACTAGTTTTTCATGTCTCTAGAGGTGACAGAGATCAAACAACCTGCATTTAAAGAGGTACGTGGTGTTGAGTGCATCTGTTCTTTTCATGGCCCATGTGTAAGTGTGACACCACAGAGCCCCTCATTAAATTTGAAGCCAGAGAGGATGTCTCTAATCAACAGCAGTGTATCTTGGCAACCAGAGACCCAGTTGCTTGCCCAAGGACAGTGGCTTCTGGATCGTGGGGTCTCTGTTTCAGACAGGCATCTTGTGGAAACGTGGGAATAATAATTAATATTTCCTGAGCGATCCTTTGTGCCAGGTATTATTTTAAGTGCTTTATATGAACTATATTGATTTATTTAATCTTCCCCACAGCCCTCAAATAAGGAAATTGAGGTATAAACAGATTGAGTAACTTGCCCAAGGTCACACATCTCTGAAGGGTGGGGTCCAGATTTGAACTTAGGTAGTTTGGTTCATGCTGTTAGCCACCAAGCTGTTCATAGAGATTAAATCACAGAGCCCTGTGGTTAAACAAATGCAAGTGATCTGGGCTTGAGGGCTAAGCCTCTAAGAAGTACTCACAAATTTTTCTCTTCTGGGAAGCTCTGGAACTGTTCTCACCCAGTAGAAATTCTGTTTTATCTTCCATTGTTCCCATTGCCAAGCATTCGATGTGTGACCTTGGGTAAGTCCCTTGACTTTATCTGTAAAATGAGACAGGTATCACCAACCTGAACACCTTGTGGAATTGGACTGGGGATTACATGGTGTAGTGCAGCATTTCCCTGGCCCTGGAGCAGACTGTCTGCATCAGAATCACCCAGGAAGCTTTTCAGAGCTACAAACACTGAGGCTCTGTCCATCTGTCCTCAGCCAGGATCTCTGTGGGGGAGGCTTGTGCAGCTTTATCTTCAGCAAGCTCTCCTAATACCGATGGGCAGTCCGGTTTGGGATCTGCCTGGTATAATAGCCATGGACACGTTTTGTAAACTTTCAAAGTGCCAGGCAAGTACTGGTAGATCTCTTCTCTCTTACAGTCTGATTCTATAAAACCATGGTTTGGTTTCTCGTGGCTTGAATTTAGAGCAGTTCAGCAAACTTGAACTGAGCGTGTGCTCAGTGCAAACTGCTCCCCCTGCCCGCCCTTGCAGGAGAGCTGTGCAGGAGGCCACCACTGCTGGGGTCAGTAGATCGGGTACTCCACTCTCTCAGGATCATTCTCCTCTCTGTGCCTCCCAGGTGAACTCCAGTTTGCCTTTGTATGCTTCCTCCTGGGGAATGTGTATGAGGCATTTGAGCACTGGAAGCGGCTCCTGAATCTCCTGTGTCGCTCCGAAGAAGCCATGGTGAGGCACCACACCCTCTACATCAACCTCATCTCCATCCTCTACCACCAGCTCGGCGAGATCCCGGCCGACTTCTTTGTGGACATCGTCTCCCAGAACAACTTCCTCACCAGCACCTTACAGGTGAGACATCTTCTGGCTGACACCCATGTGGGTCAGAACTAAGGTGAGAAAGTGTGAAAGCCCCTTTGGGAGGGTTACTTTTTTGTTGCTGTTTCCTGGCTCTGTCTTCTACTCAGTTGTAAGTTCCGTGATGCCAGAGACCCTCTCTCTGTACCACCGTCTCCCTGCCTTGCTCTGAGAATGCCACGCAGTGGGGTACTTGGCATTCGACTAACCTCTACCTCTGTGAGTTACTCAGCTCAAAACACTTTTTCTTTCTCCCTGTAGCCGTAAGTTGGTATAACCCAGTAGGACAGAGTTTTGAAGCTTGTTATTTCCAGGGAAACATCTGCAGCTCCTTAGATCTCATTTAAGCATTAAAGTAACTTTGATTTCCTGTTCAAATAAAACGTGCCAGTTTCTGCAGAGATTCTCTGACAGAAAAAGTGAAATTTGCTTTTAACTTGGCAGTTAAATTTTCATTATGAGTGGTAATTAGGGAAGACGCTTCAAACAACTTACAATCTTCATCCTGTGCTATTTCCTCCCTTTGCAAATAGATTAGCATCCTTTAAGTTCTTGGGACAGCCTCTGTCACTCACATTTTGTAACTTTCTCAAGTGTGGAAGAGGCAGAAGCTGCAAACTATCAGTTTCCATACGTTCTGTTCTGTGAGCTGCTTTTTTCTCCCCGTGTGTGAGACCACTATGAGGCCCAGTCCTAAGAAGCTGGCTGTTCCTTAACCTATCACTCCCACCCAGGGTGAGGGAAGGAACAGACATTCCGGAAATTCCTATTGGGTAGCAGGCATCATGTTTATCATGCTACTTGGGTTCCCTTATTTAATCTCTCTAGAGCCCTTCAAGGCAGGGAGGATTATTTCCTATTTAGAGAGGAGAACATTGAGACTCGGAAAGGTTAAGTCATTTATGTAAGGTTACACAGCTGGTAAGTGGCAGAGTCAGGATTTGAACCCAGGCCTGAGTCTTGTGATTATGCTCCTACGTACTGAATATAATATATTCCCCCAGTAAGGATTCTTGATTGGCATCAGTGGGGACACCATCAGGGGCTTATATCTCAGAGGTATAGAACAGTTTTCTACAAACAACATGCTGTTGGAAGAATCCCTGTAAGCAGGCAGCTGACTTAAAACCCTGTCACTTGGGGGCCTTATGCAGACCATGGGGAAAGTTGGTCAAGCTGATGGCTTGAGCCTGGTGTGTTCCACTTAAAAAGAATTATACAACTGCTCTTTTACTGGTTCTTGACATAACAGAGAAATTAAGTCCCTTTACCTTTGCTGTGAAGGGGAAATACCACCGTCCTCCCCCAGCAAGTTCCTGGGTTACATGAGCTGGTAACTGATGAGGGGTGAGAGGGGGCATCAGCTTGCTGACTTGCCTCCGGCAAGGACTCATGGGAATGACATGCTGCTCTTGTGATGTGCGTTAATGCTGTCACACAAAACATAGGAGGGCCACACTGTGTCATTGGCTGTTGTGACCATTGTCAGCAGAGCTGACCAACAGCTGAGCTCTGATAGCTGACACTTTGTTGCCAGCAATGATATATGAAGCAGTGAGGGCCCAACTGGATTGCTAGATGCCCAGGTTGGGTGTACAGAGCTGATGGTTGGAAGAATTCTGTCTGGACTTTTCACCAAGAAAATTTGATGTCATCATTTGGAAAAATCCAGGACATGTTCCTTAAAAAAAATAATATCAACACATATTTTTGAGCATTCTATCTTTATATACAGCATTTTCCAGGAAGTGTTGAGGGGTCCGTATATTAAGGTTCCTGCCTTCAAAAGAGATTTTTTCATTGATTTAGCAGGTATTTGCTAAGCATCTGCTATATTCAAGGCCCTGTTGCAGGACTGGAAATAGAGCTGTGAGCAAGACAGAGTCCCTGACTTGCAGCTTATATTTTGGTAGGAAAGTAAACAAATGAATTTACCAAGTCACTTCAGACAGCAGGGCTGTGCAGGGCTCATTTGCACCAGCCCAAGACCACTACCTGAGCCAAAACCAAGAGTCAGATGCTTAACTGACTGGGCCAACCAGGCAACCCCACCCCTTTTTTTATCCTGGTAAAAAACACATGAGATCTAACTTCTTAACACATTTTTAAATGTAGAGTACAGTATTGGTAACTATAAGCACAGCAGATCTAGAACTTTTTCATTTGGCACAACCGAAAACTTTATGTCTGTTTCATGCCTTCTTAACTGAACATGATTTTCACTCTGCCTGGTGTGAACTTGTTCATCCTACAAGATGCCCTCAAGGCATCCCTCTCTCTGAAGCCATTCCCAATCCCTCTCCTTTCCATATCATTAGCCTACTTTGGACTTGTCACTATTATATTACACAGACTGTGCCTGCTGAAATGTGTACATTGCCTGCCTGACTTCCCCACTAAGCCATGAACTTTTGCCCAAAGCCTGGTTTGTTATTCATATGGTGATTTTCAACACCTGGTCGAGGCCTAGCACTTCTCTCACTTTGTGTTATCAGGTGTTTTTAGATGGCTGGAGTACATCATTCCCGTGGCAACGCAAATAGATACCCCTGATAATGACAGGTGTAAACAATGCAGTCTGATCAAGGAAAGGAATTGCTTAATTCAGACGAGGGTTGCAACTTGAGGAGGAGAAGAGGGGATCAGGAGTGACTGTGAAGGGAGACGTTTAACTATGTGCTGGAAGGATGACAGATTTCAACAGGCACAGTGTAGAAAAGGATTTTTTTTTTTTAATGGAGAGTTAATGTTGGTACCATCCTGGCAGTGAGAATCCAGACCCCCACACAGAGGCAGTCACTCAGGGTGTGTGTGAGTGAATGAATCAGCCCATAAAAGCCTTCTTCAGCCAGCCTCCTGCTCTGCCCCCAGGTAGTCAAGTAAGTGGAACTGGCTTTCTTACTTAGGAGCTTAAATGGCTACTACCCATGGAGAGGGACTGGTGTTTGTATGTGTAAGCACTAAAAGCTGTCACGTTAGCTGGTATAAAATTAGCCACGTAATGGCCTCTGCCATTAGAGGCCCTTTTGAATAGATGTCACTGGTTCTTATAAATCCCATGGATTTAGCTTGAATAAAAATCATTTGTTTTACAAAAATAGATACAGTATTTTCTTTTATTAAAAGCAACTTGAGTCACCATAGTTTGTTTAAAACCAATGAAAGGATAATCTGAATTTAATAGCATGTTGGAAAATGAGTTATGTAGAAAATAAGGATTCTCACTGCTGATTGCGTAGCATTGAGGCATATAGTCAGGTAACCTGTTTTTTAAAATACTTTAAGTCACAATAGGCCATCTGTGCTTTCCAGCTTTATTTCTTGCCAATATTCTAAATCCAGTGTCCATCTCAACTCCTGATGGAAGACACTTACTCTAACAGTGATGTCTACCGTGTTTTTACCAGAACTCCTGGCATGATCAATATACCTACCCACTCGCACACCTTCTGCCACCAGCTGTCACTTTTGCACACTTACTGTGTGCATTATCTCATTTAGCCCTCACCACAGTGCTCAGAGCTAAGTATATAATCTCACTTTGCAATGAGGACAGCATCGTAGAGGTCACATGATTTTGCCCAAGATCACCAGAGCTAGTGGATGGCAAGGCTGAGTTTTGATTCTAAAGTCTGTGGAGGGTTCCCATTTATTACTCCCAGAGAAACATCCCAGATTCTTAAACTGACCTCAGAAGACATGATTCCTGTTGCTTTTTACTCCCCTAGAAACCATTGCGAAATGATAGTTTTATTTAACACCACTTTCTTCTTCCGCAAGTGGAAATAGAATGTTCTACCTCTGGCTAGTTTCATTCTAAGTTGAAAAATCATTTGGGAATTGAAAAAATTAGGAAATTTCATCTTTTTTGTCTGTCCAAAAAAAAATAGGATAAGATAGTGACTCAGCTACCTACCTTGATATTTTGAATTTCTCAAGGTGACCTGACTGAACTCAATTTATTTAACTTGGGTTTAAAAGAAGGCTTTCACATTTCTGGCTAAAGTAATTTACAGTTTTAGAATATACAGACTTAATGATAACAATATTAATAGCTTTTTCTGTATTTAAAGAAAAATACCCAAGGGGTGTGCTTTTAGTTTTAGAGAAATGCAGTTGTTTGTGAAATGTCGTTGTCCTCTTTCAAAAGTATTTTTAAAATATCCAGGATTGGTCTTCCGATATTAAGATGATTCATTTCTCAGTGATGTTAAGAAGTGTTTACTTGATTTCACTTTAACAAGTAAAATAATTAGATCATTACCATGTTTTCTGAAGAAGCCATAAAGTTAATCTAAAAACAAGAGAATCAAAGAAAATTATTGCTTGAAAACCAGGTAATGTCTATACATCTCCTTTTCTGAGTTATGGGTTTTTAAAATACCAAGTTTATAAACTATCAGGACAAAAATAGATCACTGGATGCCAGGGGCTTAGGTAAGGGGAGGGTTTGACCAGTAAAGGGCAGCACAAGGGAATTTTTCAGAGTAATGAGACTGTTCAGTATCCTGACTGTGGTGGTATGTGAGCTTCAGACTCATAAAACTGAATACCAAAAGAAAAAAAAATCTGTCTTGATTATATCATACAGTGGTTGCATTTGTGTACACATTCGTCAAAACAAATCAAACACTTAAAAATGGGTGAATCTAGTTGTATGTAAATTAGACCGCAATAAAGTTGCTTTTTAAAAAAAGCCAACCTGGGCTATACCCTGAGTCCTGGAGGCCTGCAGAGAGGACAGTTCCAGAAGCACCTGGTCTCCAAGTCCCCCGCCTTCCCACAGGGCAATGCTGAAAATATGAGGAATGTTTTAAGTCTGTGTCGAGACAAAAAGGTCTGGGTAGGGATGAGGGACTGAGATTTCCCTGCTGGGACTGGATCTCGCTTAACATCTGTCACTTACTCTGCATTTATCACCTTTCTCATCTGTACAGTGGGAATAGTAATTTCCTGTCCTCTTACCTCCCAGGTTTATAGTACCCAGGCTTGTAGTAAAGATTAAATTGATAAGTTCTTTGAAAAGGACAAAGCACTTTTTAAATTAGAAGCCTTATTTTTCAGACAGAAGGTTTCTGTTATACCTGCCTCTGGTTGATTTTACTCCCAGACATTGTTTGAGAGATGGGTGGGAAGGATGAGTGATGAGTCTGAGCCCAGCCTGTTCAGACCTGTCACTGCTGGCCATTGCCAAATGCAGGGCAGTCCCTACATCTCATTCTTATCTGTTTAGTGAGCTTCCTGTGGGCCCTAACTCTATGCCAGGCCCTGGGTGATGTGCTGTGTGGGACATGTTGATAAAAAGGACTCATTCCCTACTCTTAAGGAGCAGATACTGTGAGCACAGTGTGAGAAATGCCATAGGAGGGTTCAGGCCCAGTCTAGGGAAACAGAGGCTGAAGCAGTTCCTTTCGGTTTGGGCTTTTCTAAGAGACCTCTCACAAGGAAGTGGCTTGTGAGCTGGTGGCATTCAGGGGCCACCTCCTCCCCAGGACAAGTCCTTTATTTGGTCCAGCACCATCACATAATCATTGAGCAATTATTTGGTGTCAAGGACTTGTGCAAAAGTGAACCAAGAATGGATTTTCATGGAGTCTGTGGTCTTCTTCATTCTTTTGCTCATTACACACCTCGTGGGTCCTCTGTGTCAGACGCTGTGTCAGGAGTGAGTATGCAGTAGGACCCAGAGTCACTGCTTTGGAGTTGCTCCTTGTCTCTTGGGAGAGCTTGACAGTAAATGGGCCGTTACCTAACTGAGATTGAAGCTGTGTTCCTGGTAACCCTGGACGCTGGAGGAGCATAAAGGAGCACCTGTTCCATCCTTGGTCTGGGAAGACATGCTGAAGGAGGTGATGTCTCTGCTGAACCTGAGTCACTAGTAGAAATTAGTAGGTGAAGAAGATGAAAGCAGAGGCGGAAGGTGTTGTAAGCCCAGGAAAAGGCACGTGTGTAGAGGCACAGAAGAGGCTGCGGAGTGTGTTTGGCAGCTGCTCAACGTGGCCGGAGAGGTGGGGCTGTGTAGAGAGGGGTCCAGTTTACTGTGGGGGGAGGGGAACAGGAAGAGGCTTTTGCAGCTTCAGCCAGCAGGCTCCCCAGGACCTCGGGACAGGCCCAGGGGAATGCAGGGCCTCTGGAACTAACGCTGTTTGAAACAAGGCTTCTCTGCTTCCCATGCGGGGCCCTTCCCCAGAGCTCAGCTGGGCTCTGCAGTCAGCTCTCCAGGGCAAGCTCCATTAGCTGCCTGCAGACAGGCGGCCGGCTTCCCTGCTGCCCTCTCACCGCCACGCTCACACAGCCCCTCTAATTAGTTATTGATCTGCTGTTTTATTGTGGCTTTGCTGCCCGCTTCTGTATTTAGTCGATTCCCAAGTTAAACCAAATTCTGTAACCCCCCCCACTTCTGGTTCTGCACACCCACCGCCCCCAATCACTTCTGTCCCTGCTACCACTCCAACAGAATGACTCCAAACAAAGACCACTGAAATGAGCTTTACTCCTGCTAACAGGCAGTAGAGAAACAGCTGTAGAGTACACCTGTTAACTTTGTCAGGTCAAGGCTCCCCCAGATCCTTCCACGGTGATCTGCAGGCCGGCTACAGTGGGAGACCGATGGGGAACAAAGAGCTTCCCCCACCCTCACGCTCCTGTATCTGGGGTGGTTTGGGGAAAACTGCCCCTTCTTTTCCTGTCAGTTTTCATCCGGTCATTTAACTTCTCTTAGCCTCCATTTCCCTAAAATAGGTATTCTGGGGTGTCTTCCCAGAGCATTGTGAGGATCTCTTGGGATACTCTGAAACGTCTTTGAATTTGAAAACAGCAAAATAGTATGAGGAGTAATGAGTTTGCTGTTATTCTTAGAAGTGATTGGGATCCAGGAAAATCCAGAATGGAGTGTTAGATGCAGAGAAAATTACTGCTCTGCCCCCTGCTCAACGTTTATATCAGATGAAACTGAATTTAAAAGAACGTCAAAACAAGGGATTAATACCCAGAATGTATAAAGAACTGCAGTAACTCAACAACAACAACAGAAACCTGACTAAAAATGGGCAAAGGGCTTAAATAGACATTTCTCCAAAAAAGACATGGAAATGGCCAGTGCATCTACATGAAAAGATGTTCAGCATCACTAATCATAAGGGAAACGCAGATCAAAACCATAGTGCGATACCGCTTCACACCCATCTTACTGAAAAATAACAATAATAAATAACAAAAAACAGAGTTTGCCAGTGATGTGGAGAAATGGAACCCTTGTTCATTGCTGAAGGGTGGCTTCCAGGGGCTGGGGAGAGGGGGAATGGGAAATCAGTGTGGGTAGCTAGTATCAGTTGGGAAAGATAAATTCTGAAGATGGATCATGGTGATGGTTGTGAATGTACTTAATGCTGCTGAATTTTACACTTAAAAATGGTTAAAATGGTAAATGTTAGTGTATTTAATTTTTAAGATGATAATGTAAAAAGATGTAAATGTAAAAATAATAATAATAAATGTAAAAATGGTAATTTTTTATTATGTACATGTTACAACAACTTTTTTTTTTGAGAGAGAGCGAGCATGTGTACAGGTTGGGGGGGGGGGGCTTCCAGAGGGTGAGGGAGAGAGAGAATCCTAAGCAGACTTGCCCAGCATGAAGCCGGATGAGGCTCTGTCTTATGACCCTGAGATCATGACCTGAGCTAAAACCGACAGTTGGATGTTTAACCGACTGAGCCACCCAGGTGCTCCTGTTAGCACAATTTTATAAGAAGAACATCAAAGATAACTTCCAAGGGGGAATAGAAACCTCTGACTGGCAGCCTGTGGCCCATGAAGATTAGAGCAGCAGTTCAGCCTCGTTGGCCTAGAGCCTGGGACTTTATGGGATGCAGGGGCTTATAAACCCTCCAGGCCTTTCTTGGCTCCTGCTGGTATAGTTATTGCCCAGGTGCTCAGGAGAGCTCCCCAGGGGACTGGGCCAGGGTGATGGCCCCACTGGCCTTACTCTTAATGGGGCATTGCTGCCCAAGATAGTGATTTTCCATTCTAGTCCTGCCCCAGCCTCTCAGCTGGGTTTGGACCTTCTTCCTTGGTTTGGGGGGAGCACTGCAGGTGTCCTGGGCCAGTGCCAGCAGCCCCTGATCCACCCGCCCCAGAGGGCTGAACACCACGAGGAAATTTCCACAGCTTTCTCGGCCCTCTCCATGTTCTCAGGGTGACTTATCTTCTGTTCTCTGTAGGTTTTCTTCTCCTCCGCCTGCAGTGTTGCCGTGGATGCCACCCTGAGGCAGAAAGCGGAAAAGTTCCAAGCTCACCTGACCAAGAAGTTTCGGTGGGACTTTGAGGCAGAGCCAGAGGACTGCGCCCCGGTGGTGGTGGAGCTCCCTGAGGGTGTAGAGACGGGCTAACTGGGAATGCTGTCAGCCAGGGGAGGCCTCTTCCCCTACAGCTGTAGTGTTGGCCTCTCCATTCACCCCTTCCTTCTGGGACCTGAGGGGGTAGGGTAGTGGCCCCACCAGATTCTGCAGAGATGGAGCCAGAATTCCCTCTTCCACCAATAAATCAGTTTCTTCGGTGCCCAGGAGGCAGTATGCATCTGAAGCCACCTTCATGGGTTCCCGTCAGCCTGGCCACGAGGCTAACCTGACCAGATTCCAGATGGGCTCTTACAGAAGCTCTCAGGAGAGACCTGCCTCAGCAGCACCCTACTTCCTTCCAAAGGAGAAGAATGTGAGCCAATAGCCTAAGGAGACTGATCGTTTATTCCACAGAATGGTTAGAAAACAAGAAACTCTGGACCACACAGGGTTTGAGCGATCAGTTGGTGATTTAAAAGTTAAACAGGGTGAGAGGGAGATGAGCTAGAATTTCTTGCCTGTCCTTGTTGAATGGGAACGTATCACAGAAGACACGGGCATGGGACCACCAGGAGCTCCAGAGTGGGGAGAGGGGACCCAGAAATCAGTTGGATTGAGTCTGACAAATGGTCAGTTTTTGCTTTCTCCAAGTTTCTTCCTTCTGTCCAGAGGTCCCAGTGGGTAGTTGTCCAAGACTCTTGTGGCTCCTGACCTCAGGGGCTTTGCCGAAGCCACATCCTTCCCATCTGTCCCATTTTGAGGCCTCAGACCCAGAGGTGGGACTTGGCAACCCTTCCATATGGCTCCATTCCTCACCAGAGCCACCATGACTCTTTCTGGTGACCTGGAGATGGAACAACAAAGAGGGAGGTTCTTGCTCTGGAGAGGCTTCTTTTTGTGCCTTTATTCAGGGCTCTGTGGAGGACCTGGCCAACCTAGGTCTTCCCAGTTCTGCTATGGAGCTGTCAGCCACAGGAGTAATGTTGCTTGCATTTCCTCGGAGTCCTGAGGCTGTTCCCGTCACACACAGGTCCTGCCACCCTGACCTCAAACCGCTGTACTCCAACAAGAGTCCCTGCTTTCCCAAGGTGCAGCTCACACCAGGTTTCTGAATGCGAATCCATGCTGGTTAAGACTTTTGGTTTCACTTGTTTCCTTGGAGATGTTTTGCCAAGAGCATAATGTACATTAAAGTCTTTGAGTTGAGACTAAATCCCCTTGTGTGAGTCTCTCTTGCAGTTAATTTGTCCGCTTCTCGGCTGCCAGGCCACTGTCCATAGACACACTTCTCCCTGCTGACTACCAGGAGACCCTTCCTCGACATCTTCAGTCTCTGGAGAGGAGGCAGGCAGCCAGCGTTGCCTGCTATTAACCAGTGGGGCCGCCGAGACAGGCATACCTGAAGGAAGGATTGAGGCCCTGTAGCTTTATAATAACCAGAAATTATTCCCTTCCTCCCGAAGCCCACTCATCACAACTACCTGGGGAGCTTGTTAGAAGTGCACATTCCAAAGGAAGAAATTCCTGGTCCATGCTATAACGTGGATGAACCCCTGAAAACGTCATGCCGAGTGAACAAAGCCAGACACAGACCCCATGTTACATGAGTCCATTCGTAGGGATTGTCCGGGACAGACAGATCCACAGGGAGGGCAGTTACTGGTTGCCAGGGACTGGGAGAGTGGGGAATGGGGTTGACTGCTACCGGTTACAGGGTTTCCTTCTGAGGTGATGGAAAGGTTCTGGACTTAGTGGTGATGATTGTACTACCTACTACAACAATTGTACAACAATACTAAAAACCACAGAAAGTACTCACTTAACATGGGGAATTTTATGCTGTGTGAATTGTATCTCACTAATAATTTTTTTAAGTGCATATTCCCAAGTCCCACCCTGTAGGGATTCCGAGGCAGTGAATCTGGATATGGCCTGGGTCCTAAGGCACACTTAGTTTTGGAAAACTACCCAGAAGTGACAGCATTGCAGGTTAGTACCTAGAACTCCACTGGGACAGAATTTGTTTCGCACTAACATTGTCAGGGCAGCACGTGGAAGTGGGGATCACATGACTTTGCTCGGCAAGCTGTTGGTTTTCTGTCTCCACAGACCTGCTACCCCCCAAGTGCCATGTTCTGTTACTTACTCCTCACAAAAATAGGGGGTAAGTGCTACTATTTCCCCCATTTTACGAATAAGAAAATGGGCTCAGAGAACTTCACTCATTCTGTCGGGACCCCACAGCTAGGAGGGACTGAGGACAAGAGTCAAACCCAAGCACCTTGGTGTCCAGGGACCCTGACAGCCTTCTCTCCCCGATTCCCAGATGGAGCCTTGGTCCTGGCGCCAGCCAGTTGTGCGACTTCGGACGAGCCCCTTCCATTCTCTGGGCCTCGGTCTACTTACACATAAAGTAAGAGAGTTTGCTTGGATTTGGGGTTTCTGATGGTAGATTCTCCAGACTCCCTCAGGTATTTAGAAGTGGACTGTTGTGTTATTTTAAATGTTTTCAAAAGAGAAACTACATTTGCACAGGATAACGTGACTGAGCTGACAAAAAACCAATAGGTCTTTCGTTCGGGGCCGGAGTGACATCGACTCCATCTTTTGTGTGTCCCAGCTGGCAGTCTTCTATGTGTCTTTGATGAATAAAAAATGTGAAAACAAATTAATTATTACTTAATACTTGCAGTATTTCTGGAAGACAGAAACCTTGCAAACGGAGAGCCGGTGGCCTTGCTGATCTGTAAGCTCCTTCCAGTTCTAACACATCTAAAAGTGAAGCTTTTGGCAGGACCTGGCCTGATTTCCAAATCCCCTCAAATGCAGGCCTCCTGAGGTCTGGCTCTTATTTGCAAGGCTGCTTTATCCTATTAACAGAATCAGCAGAGGTAGCAAGTCTCCAACCACTCCCACTGTCCCCAAGGCAGCCCTCGCTGATCTGAGCCCATCCCTCTAATTTCTCACCACTTGAGCAGCGGAGATCCCGCCGCGGACTGCCTCTCACCATCGATAATTACTTTCCCCACATCATCCCCTTGTAAATATGATTTAATATGCCCAGGGTACCATGACATGTTGGTTTCTCCCACCTAATCAGACTCTGGCTTGACCAAAATGCCATCCCTTGCTGAAATAGGGGCTGGAGATGCTGAGTGAATGCCTGGGCGAAGCCATCACTGAGCCTCCGCCCCACGGTCACATCCTCCAGATCCAAAACAGAACAGAGCGGGGACACTCACCTGAGCTACCTGCTGACACTGGGGGCAGTGTGGATCTGCTCTTCTCTTCAGTCCCCTGCTGACTAGGGCACTTCTTTGCCTCAGAGTTCCATACATCTGGCCCAGGCAGGCTTTGTTTTCACTAGAACATTCTACCTCCAGGGTATCCAAGGTCTCCTTGCTGGTGCATTCTCCCCCAAACCTGGGCTCCTGCCCTGGACTGGCCTCCTGGCTGAGATGGGGGGAGGGGGAATGGCAGCCAGAAGTAGTGTCAGCTGTTCCCTACTGGGGGGGAGGGGTGTGTCCCCAACCTTCCAGGCCTTCTGTCCTGTGTCCTCAATCTAGTGCTCACCGGCATCAACTCACTAGGTTTCTCTGGAGAACAGGGATCCTGGGGGCTGTCAGTCAAAATGTTTGGTGGGAGGAAGGTAGAAGTAGGGAGCTTCTCAGTCCAATATCAGATGGGCTGTACAAAAGAAATTCCACAGGTCTGTCTTTCTTGGATCTTTGTCTATCTTCTTCCCTCCCCGGATTTCTCCATTTTTCCTGTGTCACCTCCAGACATTGTTCCCTGGCCCAAGTCTGGACTTCACACTTCTAAAGGGATGCTGACAGATGGGTTACATTTTGGCGAAAGGGAGCTGGCACATGAGAAGCAGCTAGAGAAAAATGTGGGGCCCTCACCCAAGAGCAGAGAGGCTGGGAGAGCTGTCTTGAAGGAGGAGGTCTCTGCGCCCTTCAGAGCGTGGAGTTGGGACCCACGGGAGAAGTTACAGGGAGGCGGCGGTAGGCTCTGTTCCTTCTTCATGCAAACAGTACTTTCTGAGTGCTGCCCCGGTGGTGAGCTTACGCTCATTCGGGGGGAGGGGCAGACAACAGGCATAAGAAGTAGGTTACAGAGATTGTTAGTTGTAAGAAATGCTCTGGAAAAAACTAGAGCAGGATAAGGAACATTGAAAGTCCTGGCAGGGTAAGAGGACATAGCGTGATTTAAATGGGGTGACATTTGAGCACAGATTTTGAAGGTGAGCAAGGAGTCATGTGGGCATCTGGGGGAAGAGGGTTCCAGGCAGAATGAATAGGGAATGCAAAGGCCCTGGGGCAAGAGCATGCCTGGTGTGTTCCAGGAACAGCGGGGGTCCGTATGGTGAGGGTGTGGTGATCAAAGGAGGTCAGAGGGGAAATCTGGGCAGCTGCAAAAGGTCAAACTGTCTAGGGCTTAGGGGCTGTTGTAAGAACATTGCATTTCACTCAGTGAGACGGGAACCCATTAGAGGGTTTTAGGCAGAGAGTGACATGGTCTGACTTTTGTTTTAACAGGATCACAAGCTGCTGCGCTGGACACAGACTACAGGGGGGATGGGCAGAAGCAGGGAGACAGGGAAGGAGGCTAGAGCACTAATCTAGGTGACAGAAGGCTCTGACTGCGGTCCGAGTCAGGTGTGCATGCTGGGCTGCATTCATGACTCAGGTGAAGGGTGCACTGGAGGCCTTCCAAGGGCTCTGCTAGCCCGATAACCCCTAACTTCTCCAAAGGCTCAGTATCTAGGCAGAATACCAGCTCATTGGGTCCCCATCCCCACACAAGTCCCCACTCTCCCGTCCCATTGGGGGTCTGTAAGTTGCTGTCACGTGGTAGTCTTATGACTCACAGAGAGCTGAGGGCAAGTGAAGCCCCCGTTGGTCCTCATCTATCCTGGTCAAGGACCGTTCCTGCCCCCACTTCCACCACAGTGGTTGTGTGGACTTCTGACGATTCGGAGGACCTGGCATGTAGCAGGGCCCTCCTCCCAGCTGCCTGGCACTGTGTCGGGTCCTTACCTTATTCGGGCGGAGTGCCAGCTCTTCAAGGAAGGCCTTATTCTTCATGGTTCAGACAAGGAAAGCAAGGCTCAGAGAGGTGAGGCACAGGCCAGTGTGTCCCAGAGCCAGAATTCCAGCCTCCTGCAGGAGGGCAGGGCTGCCCTGCCACCGGCACGCGCGCCTTTATAAGGACAGTTATGTAATCTGGGGTAATGACCTGGGCATCCAAGGCTGCTAGTCTGACTACTTATGGAAGCAGCCCCACCGGCCCCTTGGTTCGTGACAGCTTCCTCTTGTGGCCATCCAGACCCTTTGTGTCCAGTATCTGGCCTACACATGCTGGACCACAGGCTGGGGGGAGGTGGCTCCTGGGTGTGGGAGGAAGGGAAGCAGCATCCAGTCCAGGATGAGGCTGCTTCTGCCCCTTGCAGACCACTGGAGGTGGTGGGGGAGGGGTAGTAGCTGCTTAGCCTGGAGTGCGCATGAGTGGAGGCCCCATACATTCTGTCCTACCAGAGTTGCTGTTGAGTTTGCAAACAGCATTTGCTTTAGAGAAAGACACTGCTAGATGTGGGGGCTCCAAGGGGCGGATTTCATGCCCAGTCATCTGATAGGCAGGTCTTCACCTCTGCTAGCCCCTCTGTGGATCAATAACCTGTTCTACTTGTAGTCTCACAGCCCAAAGGTAGAGGATGGGATGTGGGAGTTTGGGAGGGGGGGCGGTCTTCGTGGCTCATTTTGAATGAAGGCTATGCCACTCTTCGTGTCCGTTTTGGAAATTGTTTATGATCTCTGCTCATTTTCTGTCCGATATTCTTTTTTTTAAAATATGCATTTGTTGGGGCACCTGGGTGGCTCAGTGGGTTAAAGCTTCTGCCTTCTGCTCAAGTCATGATCCCAGGGTCCTGGGATGGAGCCCCACATCGGGCTCTCTGCTTAGCAGGGAGCCTGCTCCCCCCCCCCCACCCTCTGCCTTCCTTTCTGCCTACCTGTGATCTCCGTCCAAATAAAAAATCTTTTTAAAAATATGGATTTGTCTTATCACAATATACCTTAATATTAAAAATATTTTCCCCAATTTGCCTTTTAATGTTATGTTTTGAACTCTGTGCTTTACTTTTTTACATGCCAAATATGTCTAATGTGTTCTTTTTGATTTGATTTTTCCCACTGCTTTAATGC